TAGCTTATTTAGTGCTAAAAATGATTTAATTTCCTTAATAATTTTTTATAATTTCGCAATGTAGACATTTACGATGTCTTTGTTGTATACCAGTTAACATGATCTAATTTGTTTCTCAAGTTTGTACTGCTGAATGCAATCCACACGCGTTCTTCTATCTGGCAAAGTAGTTAGATAAAGATTTTTTAACCTTTTTTTATAATCAAACTTTTCAAGCAAATGAGAGACTTTTCAAGTCCTAAGGGATGGTTGAAAAGAGCTTCAAGGAAAACACTTTTCATCCATCCCATGATACTGTTGGCTTTTGGAAGCAAATTTTGTTGTGTTTTACAATTGAGGTTAGGCTTAATTGTCACACCAAGGTCACATTCAGAGTCTGTTGATACTAAAGCATCACTCTTTGTTTCAAAGGATATGTTGTAACTAAATAAGGGTTGCCATAGCCAAAATGCATAACTTTACATTTATCAACATTCAGTTTCATGAGCCAAGTTTCTGTCTAAATTATAATAGCATTTATTTCTCTTTATAATTTTTGGGAATCTTCTGCATTTGATATCTTAGTTAAAAGTAAATATAATAATTTCATTGTTTATAAATGACTGTTTAATTTCAAAAAATTTAAAATTTAGTATATAAAATATATCCAGAATTTCACTATAAAAATCAACTAATTGCATTTTCCAGTTAGAAGCAAATGCTATGTGTTGAGCACAAACATGTTCTGTCATGTTTGTGCTAAACATGATCAAATGGGTGTATGCATGTATGTATGTTTGTTTTCATGTTATGGGCATGTTCTGTCTGTCATGTGTTGAGCACAAGTTCAGCATATACCGTGTTAAGCTCAAATTCACCTAGAATTTGTTAATACAAAATTTCTACTTTTTATCTTTTATTTTTAATTTGTAATTTCAGGAGCAATCATAAACCATTTATTAGGCATTTTATGTTATTAAATATTCTTAGTTCAAACTATTGAAGTCCTTATAGAAAATATTTTTTGCCATAAAAAAAGTTTATCTATATTTGTCGATAATAAGTTATTGCAGCCAGTTAAATATTTCTTGGCTTAATACAAGTTTTATTAAATTGCTTATTCAATATTTACTGTATTGATAATATAAACAAAAATATTTAGAGCTCTGACAGAAAAAATTGTTGCTGTCTTGCCAAAGATGAAATGTCCACATCAAATTGAGCCTCATCAAATACAAGGTCTTGATTTTAGGCACATATTTCCTGTTGTGCAGGTAATTATTTAAATTGGGTCTTGGGTCTTGGGATTTGTTATATACTTTTTTTGTATCTATATTATTATCATTATTTATCAAAAATTGTTTATAAATAAAACAAAGAAATGAAAAAAATTTTCTTTTATTTTGTTGTTTTTCTTCACTTAATAACAGGTCACATGACCTTAATGTCTTAATGATCTCTTGTTCATTATATAAGAATAAAACACAGCCATTATGTTTTTAAGTAAAAGCGATAATGAAACATAGAAGCAAAAACACTTTAGCTTCTAGCCACTAATAGCTGGTTGATGATTTTTTTTTTTTTTTTTTGTAATAACTTATTAATAATTTTATTGATACTTTATTAGTGGTTAGTTAAGCGTGCTATTGAAACAAGAGAGGAGCTCGGGGATCAAATTCGACTTTATTCGATTAGCCAGTTTAGCAAAAAATATTCTTTACCTCAAGATGACATAGTTGAGAAAAACAAAGATAAAAGTATAAAAACTTTTAAAGAACTAAAGGTAAAGTTGATTTTTAAAAAAATTTTTTAAAAGGTATTCTAATTTTTCATTAATTTTTTTTTTAGTATATAAATTTTATTTATATATTTTGGCTTAAGTACAATCAAATGGTTTTTTTAGGTTTCTTAAGTAATCTTTTAAGAAGTAGGTACAAAAAATTTTTCTTTGTTTTTAATTAGAAAGATATGTATCTACCAATCCATCAGAAACATCTTTTGTACCTACCTATCCATCTGAAACATTTTCTTTACCTACAGAACTTGTTAGAATTTATAATAGTCTGCACATCATAAACTTACATATTAATTTATATAAATATGTAAATTTATGATGTGCACATCATAAATTTACATATTAATTTATATAAATATGTAAATTTATGATGTGCACATCATAAATTTACATATTAATTTATATAAATATGTAAATTTTTGATGTGCACACATAAATTTACATATTAGGCAAAATTGATAATTTTTTTTTTCTAGTTAATTAAAATGTTGCCATTCCAAATCTGTTGGTAATAAAAGATTCTGATGTGTGGTTCGATTTATAAAGGGTCTAAAATGGAACCCATAAAAAACACATCACTTATTAAATTTTTTTTTTGTTTTTTTAATGTTTTCTATTTGTTTTTTAGGAGTTGTATGAATTTTTGTTGTTGTTTAAATTTGGGTAGCAGTAACTCACTTTGTTTCTATTGGGGTTGCTAGATATTTTTGAAAAATTCCAAAATAAGTTTAAAATGACTGCAATGGTACTAGTAAAAAAGTTATGAAGCGGTTTTTACATAAGAATTTTTATTTCTTTTTCTATGAAAATAAGTTCAAAAAAAAAAGTTAGCAAACTTTAATTAAAAAATTTGTTCAAAAAAATTCAAATAAAATTATAAATGAAGCACTAACTTTGATTTCAATCAAATTTAAACTAGTTAATAAATTTAAACTAGTTTTCCTATGAGATTTTATTTCATCTCCACATTTAAAATATTTTTTCATGATATATTAACTCATATCTGCTTTATAGTCAATTATGATTTTAAAAAAATTACCCCAAAGTTTTTTGTTGGCATCACTTTTTTTGTAATTTTCTTTTGACTCAAGTAGTCTTTGTTCCATTAAAATTTCATTATTACTTTGATCATTGGTTTTTCTAAAATAATTTTTTAGTTGAGCCCAATACATTTCTATTGGGTTGAGCTCACAATGTAATTTAATATAATGAATTATTTTTACGTCCATCTTTTTATTGTATTCATCTAATTTTGATCATTTGTACAAAATCAAATTTTGATGTTTTTATAAATGCTGAGACAATGCTTTTATTCGTAAGTCAGCAAAAAGAATGTCTGAGGTTTTCATGTGTAAGTCAATAATTTCCAATTTTTTATATAACAAAAACCTTTAGAAACACCATCAGAATAAAAACAGTTAATTATCTTTTCAACACCTTCATCAAGCCATTTTTGTTGCTTTATTGGACAAGTTGTACCAGGTGATTTTTTTAAATATACTTCCATCTAATAATGCTTTTATATGTGTGGTTGCATTGACAACGAGAATATCAATTCAAAAATTTACTGACTTCATTATTATGCTATATTTCAGTAGAGTTAAAAGTCGAGTGAATTGAGTAAGAATTGCTTCATTGTTGAAATAGCAGTGTTTTCCGGGCATAATGATGCTTGTTACTACTGTTTAAGGAAAAAAACTCAACATAGTGTTTGTTATTAGTTGCGGTTCCTCACTTACAGCTTTCATCCATTCTCATTCATTTGAAGAAAAGGTTGTTAATTTTGGATGGCACACTATAAAATCACTTAACATTTTACTGATTCCTCTCTTTATTAAACATTGGATTAAAGAAAGCATGAAGCCATTTAAATAATTGAGTATTACCCGAGCGCACCATACTTTTTGAACCAAACCATGCAGTTTGAACTTTCCGTATGTATTCATAAATTGCTGTTTTCAAAAACATCCAATAGTTTTTTCTGTTGTCAAAAAAATAGTTGACAAATGTTTTTCTATACTACAACATCTTCTCTTTCATGTCTATTAACAAATGGACAAGCTTTGTTATTCGAAAAAAATGGACGAGCTTTGTTATTTGGAAAATCCCTAACTAAATAGTAAGTTTTGAACTGCTTTAAAGCTTCCACTATATTGTGATATTTCGCTTTTTTTGGTTTCATTTTTACTGTAAAAGAATCTTTTGATTTTGACTTCATTATTCATTAATTTTCTAAACTTTCAAAATGCATTAACCTTCTCAAAATGCATTAACCTCTTTTTGAATAATATCAATGCTAAATGGACTATTTTTCTGAGAAACTTTATCAATGATGCAAGTGTAAATATGTTCTTTTAAATTTAAATTATCTTCAAACATTGAGTGGCGATGCCGTTTACCTCTATTGTCAGAATCTCTTCTTCTCCATTAATCAATTTAAAACATTTCTGTGCAGTTGGATAAGTTAATGTTCCTAAACTCGACATGATTCTGGATTCTGGACTCGACATGATTCTAAACTCGACATGATTCTACCTATTTGGATTCGTTGGAACCTTGCAAGTGTAAAAAACCATAAAAATTGCAAGACTAAATAATCATTCCATTTTAAATCCCCAATTTCTTTCTTGCATAGCATTTGTAACCATATCGAGATGAAATTTACTCAAATATTCAATATTGTGTTTTTCTTTCTTAGCTTTTAGGATGTATTTTTTAAGGCCTGAGCATTAATATATCTAATAAATCAGTTAAAACTCATAATAATAAAATTTAATTTTTTTGAAACTCATAATTATTTAAGTTTTAAAATACTCAAGTAATTCTCTGAATAATTTTAAAATTAAAAGCGAATTTTAAAATAGGAATGACTTTTTACAGTTTTTAGGCTTAACTTAAAGTAAAAACTATACAGTTTTTAGGCTTTTAGGCTTTTTAGGCTTGTTACAGTTTTTAGGCTTAAACTTGAAGTAAAAACTATAACATTTTATTAAAAAATTTTTATATAAAAAAATATTAGATATTTTTGGAAATTCTTAACAGTCCCTGATAGCCACAAGGCAAAATATATCAAATATTTTTTTTTTTTTTTTTTTATTTCTTCCAAAAATGTTTAAAAATAATTTTTATACATTTAAAATGATATTCATATTAAGGTAATTTTTATAGAAAAAAAACAAAAATAAGATTTCAAAAAAAACAATTTTTTATTATTATTAATTCAATTTTACAGGTTTTTAGCCATAAAAAAAGAAATAAAAAATTATTATGTAAAAACCGCTTCATAATTTTTTTGCTAGTACCATTGCAGTCATTTAAAACTTGTTTTGGAATTTTTCATAAATATCTAACAGTCCCTTATAGACACAAGGTGAGCCACTGCTACTCAAAATTACTTTTCCTTATAATTATTTAAAAAATGCATGGTTTTTTTTCCCCTTTGAACACAACTCCTAAAAAACAAATAGAAATCAAAATCAAAACAGAAACATTTTAATGTGATATGTTTTTTCTGGACAAAAGATTTTTTATGGGTTCCATTTTGGCCCCTTTATAAATCGAACCACTCATCAGAATTTTTTATTACTAACAGATTTGGAATGGAAACATTTTAATTAACTAGAAAAAAAAAAAAAAATCATCAATTTTTGTTCAATATGTAAATTTATGATTCTGTGCACTCTACTAATAGTCAAATTTTTCCTTTTAAAAAGTTTTTCAATATTGTTTTAAGATATTTCTTCTTGAGCTTTTATTCTTTATAATTCTCTGTTATGTTATTTATTTAAAATACAATTATTATATATAAAAAATAAAAAAGTTATCATAGTTTCATTTTATTTATTTCATAACTTTATATTTTTTAATTAGAAAAAAGAAGAAATTAAAATACCATTAAATTTTTTGTTTTGTTTATGTTTTGTCAGTTGTCAGTAAATGTACACATAATCAATCATAGCTATCTTGTCATCATATTGTCAGTTAATGTGCAAAGTACATTTATGTCTAGGTTATAAATATTTTAATAAAAAAATTTAATGAAAAATCATTCAATGATAAAAGAAATTTATGATGAAAAATAATTTTTTGTAGTTTTTTTGCATTTCTTTATGTCAAAACAAATAAATTAAATATGGAAGGGTATAAAAATTGATGAAATTATTATTATTATTATTTTTTAATTTTTATTTCATTATTTTTTTATTATTTATTTTATTATTTCATTTTTTCATTATTTTTATTATTTTTTTCATTATTATTAAAAAAAAAAAAAGCAAAAAAAAAAACAGTACAAATAAACAGGGATTCAGAGTCCCAAAAGGGGTCTTACACCTCTATGTTTTTTCTGCCCTCTTGTGTCTAGAAGCTCATGTTGAATGACTTATGATCTACTATAAGGAAAAAATTCATGAGGTTTTTAGAACTTTTCAAGCACAGAATCCTGGAGTCCTTGCTGTTATTACTCTTTATGTGACTTTCAAATCCAGAATCCTTTTTGGGACTCTACATTCTTGCCAATAAGTTTTAAAAAAAATTACTTTAAATGAGTTTGTTGAACGACTGATATAAAATTTTCAAAATATTTCACATAATGATACAAGTATGCAATATAACTAAATTTATAAAAAAGAGTAAATATATTTTGTATGTAAATAAAAAAACAATTATTATATAACTTTTAGAATACATATAACCCAAAAAGATTGTACAAAAAACCCTCCAAGTTTGCTGAGGCAGATGAAGAAACACAGGTTTATACAACACTTCTAGAATATGGCAGACACTATGTTTTAAGTCGTACAGTTAAATCAGAAAAAGAAACCAATCAGTTAAAGAAAGAAAACTTAACTGAGGTTGATAGTCTTGTAAAGGTTGATTCATCAGATGATATTGAAAAAGAAGAAGATAGAATTAAATCATTGATGGGTGGAATGTCTCAAACAGATCTGCAGGAAGTATGTTATTTGAACAAGTTTAAATTATCTATATAATATTTTAATGCGTACTATTTTCATAATCTTTATACATGTATATATGCATATATATATATATATATATATATATATATATATATATATATATATATATATATATATATATATATATATATATATATATATATATATATATATATATATATATATATATATATATATATTCACCTATAGTTTCACTTCGGGGACCAATTTTACAAAAAAACAAACACTTACATGGACATTAGCATTATCGGGGACATTTTAGTGTACCCGTTAATTTTTTGTCCCTGTAAACATCGTTTTTTTGTAAAAAAAAATGTCCCTGTAAGAAACTTTTATAGAGAATGAAAAGTACATACATCAAATATCAAATAGCCTGATTCGTACCGGAGTGCTGCTACATCAACTGAGTTTTTGGTTTGGGTCAGCATCAAGGTCAGGCTTAGGGTTAGGGTTATGGCAAAGTTTAAATATGGTTATATTACTATAATTAATCGTTTTTGTAAATAGATGAAAATAAAATGTAAATGTAAATAGATAATAAATAAAAATAACAAAAATAAATATGAAAAACATATTTTTATAATAAAAAAATAAATTTAATTATGTATAGATAAAAATAACAATATAATAGAAATAAAAAAAACAATTATATTTATGATAAAAATAGTATAGAAAAAAAAACAAAAACATAACGGGAACAAAAAAACATGTCTCCATTTTGCAATAGGTCTAATAAATATAATTTTTGTAGTTAATTTTATAAATAACTTACACGTAAAATCTGCAATAACTATATGGAACTATGGAAATTTTGCTGAATGTGTGTGCATATACTAACAGATTCGGAATGGCAACATTTTAATTAACTAGAAAAAGAAAAGCAACCGTTTCCAATGGAAGAAGGACTATTAGTATTTTTTAATTAAAAATACACAAAGCTTTCATATAGAACAAACTAATCAAAATCTTCAATACACTTCAATTAACTCTTATTAAGTGTTCAAAACAAACTGATGGAACTATGGAAATTTTGCATGTATATATATCGGATTTTAAAAATATTCTAGAAAATTTAGTTTCACTTGTTTCAGAAACACATAAAGTTGTCATAAACACATTTGCTTGCAAAAGGTCTAATAAATATAATTTTTTTGGTTAATTTTATAAATAGCTTACGCGTAAAATCTGCAATAACTACATGCAACTATGGAAATTTTGCTAAATGTGTGTGCATATACTAACAGATTCGGCACACAGATCTCTGATCTAAAATTGGTGGCAAGAAATTTAATGAGTTTTTCATAAATATTGATCTAAACTTAGCCAATAAAATTCAACACTCCTGCACATTTCATGAGCTATCAATCGAAGTCTGATTAAAGCTTAGCATTTAAAAAACTCACTAGTTCACTAGAAAGGAACTTGATGACTCAATAAAAAAACTAAATATAAATAAAACAACAGGCTATGATTCAGCAAGCATAATCAAAAACTGCTATGAACTTATTAAAGATGCTTTATTAGATATTTTTAACAAATCACTTAAAACAGGTGTTTTTCCAGATAAAATGAAAGTTGCAATTATTACACCCATTTTTAAAATAATATATGTATTGAAGGCTTTAACTAAGATACTAGGATTGTGAGACTTTTCAAATAAGGTAAGCATTTTCAAATAAGGTATGCTCTGGTATTAGCTACACCTTTGAAATATGATTTTTATAGTTCAGTTTAGAATCATTAGTCACACCAAAATCTTTTGGAACAGAAGACCAAGTTTAAGTATGATCTCCTAACTTATAGTTAAAGTTAAAGAATCTTTTCAAAGAAGCAGGCGCAATCCTATGAACATAACACTTACTGGTAGAAATAGGTAGTTGCCATGTTTCTGACAAAAGTACTATGTTATCAAGAGCATTAACTAAGTGATGGCTATGATCTGTATTGCAAAATGAACATTGGCCTAAAGCTTTAAAGAGCAATCAAGATTGTTAACAATAGCAGTTATATCATTGACATAGTAAAAATAATGTCGGGCTTAACGCTGCCCTGAGGAACTCTGCTAATGATTTGAGTTGAGTTTGATAACATACTTGTCTGATAGATGCTCCTGTTCTATAGTGGCCTTACAATTATTTTTTAAAATAATTTTAGTTTACTTAAAGGTTGTTCACCTTCTGCGACAGAAGTTAGTATTGCATTAAAAAATTCAAATTAGAATCCATATAGATAACAAAGCACAAAGTAAAAGATTTTTACTTCATTTTTTTTTTTCCATAGCTGGTGACACCAAGATGACTTGTTGAGATAACTAAGAATTAGATTCCCTACCCAAGCTACTGCGTCTACTTGTATTTTGACTTTGAGGTTGTTAGATATTACTTCTCCAAGATCTTGCTGAATGAATGCTGGAACAAGATTACATCAGTCTCCTTCAATATAACTATGGCATTATTAATTAGTTTTTTGCAACACCCAACTTCTGTTACTTTGCACTTCTTGACTTTGCAAGGCAATACAGTTGTGTGACCAATTTATTGCGCTGTCGCAATAAATTGGTCACACAACTGTAAAAACTGATTCGCGAGGAATGGTTTTTCTCACTAATTCCCAATTGAACGTTTATTCTTCAATTTTCACTAATTGTTTTCTATTAGCTAGCTAACAGTGATTCAGTTTAATAGCTAGCCTTAAATGCCATATACGACACATCTCAAAGGCTGCTTTACAAACCTGATTGAATCCCATATTATTTTAAAAGCAGTAGGTTACAGTGGGCACCTGGTTTACATAAATTTTACCAATTTGGCTAAAGAATTAAACACAGATTCATACAACAACTTCTTAATAAGATTCATGTCTATAGACATTAACCTTATGACAAAGTCAATGCGTGACACTGTTGAATGTTGAAATGTTGAAATTAGATAGTACGCAGTTTTTTATAATTCTATTTATGAAAATTCTCTTGGCTGCCTTGCACGATATAGGTGAGAGACACCAGCTTGTAGTTATGTAGTTATTGTACTTATGTAGTTATTGTAGTTATGTAGTTATTGTAGTCTTGACTTTATTTCTTTTTTTTGAGAGTAGGCATTTGATTTGAATTGGTAACAATCTTTTAGTAGTTGTTAAATCAAATAAAGTTAATTGATTAAGTTTTATATTTTAATTTTTCTATTTAAAATTATGATTACAGAATAATCATAAAAATATTTATGATATTTTTTTCTGAAATCACTGATAAAACTTATCTTTAACAATAAAATGTTTTGTTTGGTCTAGTGACTACTTTAATGTTGTCAATATAAAAAACAACTCAAATTTTTTTTTTTGGTTGGTCCCCACCTACCATTAACCCTTTATAGTTCACATAATATTTACTTTGAGTAAAATTATTTCCGTTGGTAAAAATTATCATTTTAATTTGCTTAATCATTTTTTGCAATTTAGTTTTTTCTGAGATTTATTTAAAATCATTTATTTAAAAACTGAGACACAGTTTTTAAATAAATGATGGTAGCCATATTGATACTTTGAACAACTAAGAAAAAGAATTTTAATGAATTTCAAAGATAAAACTAAATAGAGTTATTAAAAAAATTTAATTGTATATGTTAATACTCAACGAAAACTCGTTTATAAGTATATATATAAAACATATACATATAAGTCTATATATAAAACATATATACATATATGTATATATATTTGTATATATATATATATGCATATATCCAGGGCCATCCTGAAGGAAGGGTACATGAAAAAATGAAAAAATACATGCAACGACCCCACCCCTCCACGGAAGACCTCTTCAGGACAGCCATACATATATGTACATATACTTGTATATATATATATATATATATTCAAAAATGTATATATATATATATATATAAATATATATATATATATATATATATATATATATATATATATATATATATATATATATATATATATATATATATATATATATATATATATGATTAAAACATGTACTTTTATTAGTTTATACCCATCTTTATAAATATATATGTATACATTTTTAAATAGATTTTAACATCGCGTGCAGTTGGTTCTATTGTTGGTTTACAATCAGATGAAATTACTCAGATAGTGAAAGAGTATGCTGAAAGGAAAGAAGCTTTTAAAAATGAAACAAGTGATATAAAAGTTAGTGGCTTGCAGGCTCACAAACGAGATGTTGCTGTTGTGGAAAAAAATATTAAAAATGAAAAAGAAAAGTTAGAAGAGGTTTTGATATTGATTTTCAAAATTTTATTGTTTCTTATTATAATCATATTTAGTATTTCTCAATGTTAATTCTTCTTATTATCATAATTATTTGATGGTAGTTATAATATTATAATAATATTAGTAATAATAATAATAATAATAGCAATAATAATAATAGTAATAATAATATTAATAATAGTAAAATTAAAGTGATTAAACTATTCATAATTATTTAGTTATGTTATTAAAATTTTGTGATTTCATTTGTTTAGCTGCGCTTATCTGGTTAAATTTTAACTGGTTTATATCTTTTATAACATAAATTTTGTAATAATTGTTTATTTATGTTGAATGTTTTATTACTATTATGATTATCATCATAAATAGTAATATTATTTATAATTTAAATTAATACAATATTATGGAGTTTATTATTAAATTAAATATAAATGCATATATATATATATATATATATATATATATATATCAACGCTTGAAATTATTTTTCAAAGCTTGCCGATCAAATGTAATTTTTTCACAAAAACATGTTATTTTTCCTTGAATTTTTCAAAATTTCCCTAAAAATAGACGATCATTGATTGTTGATCGGCCATTATTTCGAGTGCTAATATATATATATATATATATATATATATATATATATATATATATATATATATATATATATATATATATATATATATATAAACTGTCGGAATTAGGAAAACTGTTAGAGGTCGGCAAAAAAATTTGACACAAAAAGGTTACCATAAAATATAAAAACAAGGCAAAAAACTGCTGACCTCAAATACTTTCAGGTTGGCAGTTAGGTCAGCATTGCTGAATTGCCGACCCTAATTCCGAGGGTTGTATATATGATAAACTATCATGTAGAAGCCCTCCTAGGCAAACACTTAAAGAGTAGACAGATTCTATCTGTTGACCAGCCACACAACTCTTCTTCATTTATTAGGCTGGCACAGAGAAATTTATAATACATTGTTTCCAGTTTAGGATGTTGAATGCTGGATTTTCTTGACTCTATGCATGGGTTTTGCATGTGTTTTTATGGCTAGGCAATTCATTCTATTATATCCTAATGATGGTACAGCTCTTAAACTCAGTTTTATGGTTCTGAGGCTGGTTGGTAGTCAGGTTTTCCGAACTCTATGGTAGCTCTCAGAGAGGCTGATTGCATCTACAGCTGTAAAACATCAGAGTATTAACAGTGCCATTTTGAGCACAGATGATGTCTCTGTTCGTACTTTTGGTGTGCATTGTCAAGGCCACAAATAGAGCCCTCTATTACAGCTTAAGGTTTAATAATAATAATGAAACAATTGCTTGGTCTATGAAATATTGTACTGATTACTATCTATGCTTTGAGTCAAGTTCTTTAACAAATTTAAAAATGAATAAAGTACCAAAAACTATAAAATACAAGAAACCATTGTCATCATTAAGTACTCTAAATCTATCATTCACTAATATTCGTGATCATCGAAGAAACTTTTTTTCTGTTAAGTCTTATCTCTTGTAAAGTTCACCAGACATATTTGCTCTTTGTGAGACTAATTTAAGTTCAGCTGTACTCATCTTGTGATCTTAGTGTTGATGGTTATCTCCCTTTAATTTGTAAAGACTCCACTAGTCACATGCTTGGCCTAGGCACTTATATTTGTAAGAATTCACCCATTAGTTGGGAAATTTGGTTTGAATCCACAGAATATTCTTTTATGTGCTTTCATTTAGCCCCTTTTCACTCTATCATTTTTCTATTTGTTCTATATCACTCTCCTTTATCTCAAGACTGCACTCTTTTTGATATTATTTCTGATCAAATTGACTAAGCCTTTTTTTTTTATCCTTTAGCCAATATTGTTGATGCTCATCACACTGAATGGCTTGATTATCATGTCTTTGACTCTGCAGGTGTTAAGATCCACAACCTTTGCTTTTCTCAATCTCTAACTCAAATAGTCAACTTTCCAACTCGTTTTCCAGACAACTCAAATCATTAACCTTCTCTACTTGACTTGAGCCTTGTTTCTGATCCTAGTCAGTGCCCAGTTTCTCCACATATACCCTTAGGTGCTTTTGATCACGGTTTAATCTCTCTAAAACTAATATCTCATTCTTCTTTATCATCAGAATCCCCCTATCATCGTACCTCTTACAACTGCCTTTAAGCTGACTGGGACTCTTTCCGTGATTTTCTTTGTAACGGCCCATGGGTAAAAATCATTTGTCTTCCTGCTGATAAATGTGCTTCCTACATAACTTTGTGGATTCAGGCTAGGGTGGAATCTTTTATTTCCTCTCGACTATTCCAGATCAAGCATCACTCTTCTCCATGGTTTTCCTGACATAGTGCTGCTGCAATTTTCAATCAAAACCTTTACTTCCATATCTATCAGCATAACAATTCTCAAAAAAACAGACGTCTGTTTATTACTGCTTAAAACCATTTTAAAAAGGTTTTCATACTTTTTTTAATTTATAATAATGATCTTCCAGAAATTTTCACATCTAAGGTGGTATTGTTCGCTGATGATACTACCATTTGTTCTTGTCATAGTAAGAAGCCAACTCTCTCTGATGGCTTGAAGGGGGCATTTGAGCTTGAAAATGATCTACAGCATGGGGCTTTGCTGGTGCACAGCATTGGCTGGTGCACAGCATTGGCTGGTGAAAATTAACTCAGATAAAACCCCATTTTTTCAGCCATTCGTTACAGCAATAATTTAGATCTTCCTATATTTATAAATTGTGATGTACTGGACAACTCATTTACTTTTTATCTTCTATGATTAACTCTTTCTTCCGATCTTTCTTGAAAACCATATATCAAATCCATTGCAAAATTAGCATCTGCTAAGGTTGCATCTCTTTTATCGTATTTGCCACTTTCTTACTGCAGAATCTCTTCTTTATCTCTATAAATCTCAAACCTGTTTTTGTATGGAATATTGTTGCCATATCTAGGGTGAATCTTCCTATGTTGCCATTTCTTGTTTAGATAAAGTGCAAAAATGCATTGTAAACATAGTTGGAACTGCTCGTGCAGTCAACCTCAAACCATTATCACATTTTAGTAATGTTGCTTCTCTTTCTCTTTTCTACAAATGTAATAATAAGCACTGCTCTAAAGAGCTAACTTCTCTTATGCTATCTACTAAAATTCATTCTCAGGTTATTCGTCATTAAGGTGTTCTTTTTCTGTGACTGTGATTTTTTAAGTGCTCAAAAATATCTTATTTGTCTAGTTTTTTTCCTCGAACATCAGTTGTTTGGAATTCGCTTCCTTCATCTTACTTTACTGATTCATTTAACTTGTAATCTTTAAAATTTTCTGTTAATTGTTATCTTTCTCTACAAACCTCATCTTTTCTCTTCATCGAACTTTTAACTCTTACAGTGGTTGTTTGCAGGCTTGTTATAAGCGAAAATATTGGGGGAAAAAAAAAAAAAAATATGCATATATAATATATATAAAAGCGTTTACATTTTTTTCTAGGTTCAAAAGCAGTTGAAGATTCTTAAAGAAGAATCGATCAAATCAATAGAGAATTATGAGGAGGTAATTGTTTCTTTTAAACCTCAAGTTTCGTAATTGATAATGTTATTTTTTTTTTCTATAAAAAACGATGGTTACAATTATTATTATCTACTTGTGTTTTTTTATTTTTTATTAGATAGTAATTTTTATTTTTATTAAATAATTTATTTTTATTAATTTTATTAATCAATTAATTTTATTAAGCAAGTGTATTGTTAAGCTTTTAAGCATTTCACATTTTTTTATTTATACAATTTAAGCATTTTTGTTTATTTATATATACATTTCATGTTAATTTATATACAAATTTTTTATATATTTTATGTTTAGAATATTTTCTGTTTTTTCTGTTTGATTTTATTTTTTTTATAGAAAGTTCAAAACAGAGACAAGTTAAAAATGGAAATGGAAAAGTTAGAAAGATTTGAGAATGATGAAAATTCAAGGTATAATGATTGTTTTTATAAAAACTACATTTATATATTTAACTCATTATTTAATAAAATTAAAACATGTGGATTCCATTACCCTTGATTATTAGTTCTATTACTCTTGATGTTCTATTTTTCTTGTATTTGTTTCTATAAGCCTTGAACCTTGCTGGATCTATTTCTCCTGTTTTTAGTATTATTCATCTGATTCTTTTTGGTTAATGCTTTAAGCTTTGTTAATGAATCTATTAGTAATATTTAGTAATGACGTATGATTGCATCCCATTCATGACCAAGACTATTTTTGTTATTTGGTTCTATTCCTTGTATTGTTGGTTCTATTAGCTTGGTTGTACTTCTAATAGTTTTTGCTATTTTCCTTTTTGTTAGTTTTATTGGTTTTATTAGTGCTAAAAAAATTCAGAAATGTTAAAAAACTTTATTTATTCAAAATAAATATATATTTACATAGTAAAGTTCACAATAAAAATTATTCACATGAATTCGCATAATTCAGGCTTGGTCGGGAAGCGGGAGCGATCGCTCTCGAATACTGACCAAGGAAATTATATTTAGTTGCGAAAAACTGGCCATGTTTTTTAGTCGTTTTGAGAACCTTTAAGTTAATGAACGAAACAAAAAATTTTTGTTTTACGGACATACATGGAAACATAAACAACTTGAATGTTCTCAAAATATCTTGGTGCAAAAGAATAAAAAGAATATTCACAAACAATAAAAACTCGCCAAATTAACGAACAAACTAATTTTATTGGTTCAAAAAATACTTTTTCTAGTATAAATTATTACTGCTTTTTTTTTTTTCTAGTATAAATTGTTTTAAGAATATATATTATTTGTTTACAAAAATAAATGTTTTAAATATATATTAATTAAATTGTCAAAATTTTAAAAGTTTATTATAAATTATAGATTTTATTAGTATATTCTTATTTTTTATTTAAAAAGTATGTATTCTTTATGTAAATGTAATTGTGTGTATCTGTTTTTTATCGTAATGTATATTTTAAAGCAATTATTATGATTTAAACAAAGACTTACACAAATATTTGCGTTTTCAATGAAGTTATAATCGTCCAAATTCATAAAATAATTGTGTAACAAACATATAAGAAGTTTCTGGTTACTAAACACAAACAATGCATATGAAGTAACTCGCGGATGAACAAGCACCGCGTACGATAGAACACAAATATTTATAGCAAATAACTAGATACAAAGAAAAGTTTCTAGATATTGGTTTACTGACTCTAATTATTTTCGCTTAATCTGCCATTCTTAAAACTCGTTATACTTTTTTCTGCTTTGAATACTAACTAAAATTAAAAAGCCCACTCACTAAACATCATCAGCGATATTGTGAAGCAGTTTCGCTTCCTCGTCATTAAGTATTTTTAACCTTTTTAGTTGATTTCTATTTTGTTAATTTAATTTCTATAGTAGTTCAATAGTTTAACTATTTCATTTGTTTATCTTACTTAGAAGAATTGCTTCAAGTATGTTAAATTTTTCAAACTACGCGAAACATAAAATAGGTATTAAAAAAATAAACTTTTTTATTTATAAAACAATTTAGCTTAAATAAAACTAAAACTTGCAAACTTTGTTAATAAAGAATATTTGTTTCCTTTTTAAACAATCGTAAGTTGTTACTTTATATAAAAAACATCGCTTAATTTTATAAAAAAATTATAAAAGAGCGATGTTTCGAAAATATTTGTTCTAAACGTAATTTATTTAGCTTTAATTTTTTTTTTTTTTTTTGTAATTGTCTCTCATCGGTCCAATTAATCTTGATCGCTTTTTTTTTTTTTGCTTTAAAAAATGTTCTTAAAACCACTAAAAAATCTGGCCAGCTTTTCACAACTAAATATTATTTATGTGGTCAGCAATCGAGAGCGATCGCTCCCGCTTCCCGACCAAGCCTGATAATTACACATGAAAGTTTTGACAAAGTTTTTATCAAGTGTAAATAATTTATGTGCAAACATCACTATGTATTATTATGTTGCACAAGAGTGAATCAATAAAAATAAACAAACAAAAGAAAAAAACGCTAGAAAAGTATATTAAAAAGTTTAGCATACTTGATTCCATAAATCATTAATCAGAATATTTTTAGATTTATTTATTTTTTTAACATCTTCACCTCCAACAAGGTTACAAGCAACCACTTTTTGGAAGTGAAGATGTTAAAAATAATTTTGAAGAAAAAAGATTAAGATTATAAAGCAAGATAATGATTTACAGACAACTTTAAAGATTGCAAATTTATGAATCAAGAAAACAAGATGAAAGGAGCAAAAAAGATGCAGCTTTATAGATTTTTTTTTAAGTTGATTAAGGTGCCCCAAGAAGTCCTTACGGTCTTATCCCAGAGCACCGCGGAAGAGCATTTAATGGGAAGTTCACGCCTCCTTCCTAACCGTTGTTGCAAAACTTGCCCAGAGGTGGGGTTTGAACCACGGATCTTATGTTTTTGAGGCAAGTGCGCTACCACTGCGCCACGGCTGCTTATATGGTTTCCAAAAAAGATCGAAAGTAAGAGGTAATCCTTTTATAAATTTGGTATATGGTTTCCAAAAAAGATCGAAGTAAGAGGTAATCCTAGAAGACAAAGGATAAATGACTCATTGAGTATATTACCATCCATAAATATAGGAAGATCTAGGTTGTTATGATATCGATTAGCTGAAAAAAAGTTTTATTTTTTATAAAGAGTTATATTTTTTATAAAGAGTTTTATCTGAGTTAATGTTCACCAGACACTGAGAGCCTCATTCTGTAGCAGAAGTGAGACCCTTTTTTCAGCTCAAATGTCCCCTCCAAGCAATCAATTCTTATCAAGACAAGATTAAATGGTAGTAATAATCATCAGGGTAATTCCATATGAAATCATCCAAAAAAAAAACATTTTTGATACCCTTATGTCTTAGAATTTGTTCATTTTTACCTCACTTGCAGTCCTTATTAAAAAAACAATAACTGCAAAAAAATACACAGGGTTCCAGAGATATTGTCAGTTAAAATAATGCTGGCATTTTAGTGATTATCTGAAGCGACTACAAAGCAACTTTGACATATAGTATCTGCTTAATGGCTTAGGGAAATTTACTAAAATTTGGTACCTTAATAGTTTTTACTTGTGGAATCCACCCTCAAGACTCAATTGTCTCAGAAATGTCTCGTTAATCCAATTTTGTTTAAAATTATTGACTTGTAAATTCATGATATTTGGAGGTAAAATGAAGACTGTGGCCCGAAATACTGAATAAAAAGTTTAATTGTATATCATTATTTTATCTTGGGTTTACTGAAAAAAATTAGAGTCATCAAATGTCTCTTTAATTCTTGATCAAAATAAGCGTTTAAAAATTGTGTCTTTTTAGAAAAATTTAAATTTTGTAAGGAAAGCAATTGAAATGTTTTTTAAAACATTTATTTGAATAAAACATCAAATAGTGTTATTTATTTACTAGTTTAGGATGTTTATAGTCATAGGTTAAAAGTGGACCAGGGGGCCTCTGACCAACTCTGAACCCCCCACCCACCCACCCCACCCCAATCTCACTGGATTTTTTTTTATATGCATAAAATGATATAATAATAAATAACTATTAAAATTCAATTTAAAAACATAATTTTTTTTTTAGTTTAAGTTTGAGAAACAATTATTTTTCACTTCAAAGTAAGCACTCAAAACTTAAATCTTTTCACAATTTTAAAAATCATAAATTTAAAACTATGGATATTGAAGTGTTTTTTAAAAAATTTTAACAATCAATATCTTTATGGTATTATTTAGTAAATTAATACCAATATGGTCATTGACATAATAAGGGTGACAGTGGGATTTATTTAAACCCCCTCCTTTTTATCCTTTCATCCAAGGGTTTGAAAAAAAGAAAAAAAAAAAAAGACAAATTCTAAATGTAAAATAGTTAAATAAAGTTACAACAAAATTATTTTAAGTGTGTTAATTTTTTTTTTTTTGTAACTAACTGCTTATATTCTCTAAATCTAAATCAGATGTGTTGTACGTACAACCTGATATTGTTGTGGGTGTAGAAATTAGGCATATAACTTCAGAGTTGAGCACCCAACACTTGTCATTTCTCATTGGCCAAAAGAGGTTTTTACTTGGTCCATGTGGATGCATGAATCTGACTTTTATATCAAGCTCACTTACATCTTCAGCAATCTCTACCCACCAAAATCCTAAAAGTATGCAATATAATCCATTTTTTTTAATGTTTAATGAAATTGTTTAATGGTTTTGTTTTTTTAAATTGTGCTGCGCGACCATCAGAAAAGTATTTCACACTTGATACATCAGGTAGATTTTCTTTGATATATCTAGTTATATCTTCTTGAGTCTTGTAAATAAATCGTGTTTCATGATCAACATCTTCTGAAAGGTAAAAGATTTGCGTTTGAGAACTTTTTTCTCTATAAAATAAAGTACAATTGTAAAAAGTGAACATTGACTTTTGGTCTAGTGATAACTTTGAACCTCATCCTGAACAACATATTGATAATTTTCAGTAAAATCTCCTAATATTAGGCATTCGTTTTGTTAAGATTTTATTTACAGTTTTTCAAGTATCTACTTTGTGTTTTTGCAATATATGAGTGAGTGTTAAGTTTGTCATAATAAACCATTAAACTTATCTAGTGGCAATGATTGTAATAAGAGTGTTGTATGATCGGTACTCTGCCATTGCTTGAATGCTACATCTTCAAGCTCATGGCCCATAAACTCCTGCACTAAAAAACTTTTTAATGCTTCAATACCAGGGCATTGGTTACATCGATGCAACATGCATTTTGCATTTTCAAGCGAACATTTTGCATTTTCAATGCCATGAAATCTTTATAACTATTATTCCACATAATGGCATCAATGAGAAATTTTCTATTTTGGTGATGTATGCATACACATACCTGACGCTGGCACCATTTAGGTTTAAGATTACTAAACTTTGACAAATTGA